GATATATTTTTTTATATGGAAATAAGAAAGAGTGTACAAATTGGCAATACATTATTAGAGCACAAAAATTTCAGAAGGATTTTTATGTGATTTACCATATGAACAATCATGGCCGTGTAAAAAAGCTGAAAAGATTCAGAAAGTTTAGTTTCATAGTCAGTGCTAGACTAACCAGATAACAATGGCAAACATCTGCCTTCTACCAGATAGCTCAAGATTACATTGCGCTCATGTCAGCATCGCACAAGTGTTGCCACTTCTACTGAGAAATGGGTATCGAGATAAGTGACCTGCTAACTTGCTTCAATTCACCTCAAATGGGACGGATAAAAATCCGTAATTAACAATATATGTGGCAGGTATGAATAGAAAATAATGAACTCAAGACGGGTACAGAACAGGTATCTATTTAATATTTTTACATATGTGAAAATAAGAATGAGTGTACAAATAGGGAATACATTATTAGAGAACTAGTTAGGACAAGGGTCTTATGTGATTTACCATGTGAGTGATCATGGCCATGTACAACAAGATGCAAAATATTCAGAAAGTCTGGTTTCATATCCAGTGCTAGACAAGCCAGATAACTATGGAAAACCTCTGCCTTCTAACAGATAGCTCTAGATGACATCGTACCTTGTCAGCATCCCACAAATGTTGCCAGTTGTACTTTCACACTAGGTAAATATCTGCATGCAAATAAGAAAGTATATGCATCTCCATTCCCCAGACTGTTAGCCTCATTCATTCCTCTAAATTTAGAGATAAATAGATAAATAAATAGATAGATCAATCGATAGATAGGGGAGGAAAAGGAGAGAGAGAGAGAGATCATCTTTTTTCTTCTTCTACAAAGAGATCATCTTGATCTCTACAATGTCTTTGACTGAAAGTTCATTGCAGCCCACATAAAAAAGTTAGCCTCTTTTTCTTTTATTCTTATTTAATTTCAATCATAAAATTTAATTTTATGATTGTCCACCAGATATGGGGTTCAAATTTTGACTACTGCATGCATATTATCTGTCATTTTACGAATCCAAAATGAATGTCCAGATATTCTCCCAGAATCAACTTCTATATCCAATGATTAAAAAACAACAATTTTCTCACAATTTGAGAAAATAGAAAAGATAAATTCCTCTATTTATTTTCTTCCAAGTAAATAAACAAATTTTGAACATCATATAACAGGCGTTAAGAGTGGCTGATTGTTGAAGTGCGCCACCAAATTTTTGAGCACAAGGTCAGCCATTGCCTTTGCAGTTTCATGAGTGTCACTTCCCACATGAGGCAGAAGGACTACATTCTGAAGCTGCAACAAAGGTTCAGGTACTTCTGGTTCATTCTCGTATACATCAAGCCCTGCTCCACCCACTCGCCCTTCCTGCAGTGCACATACAAGCTCTGCTTCATCAATGTGTGCTCCTCTTCCTATGTTGATGAGAATGCCCTTTGGACCCAATGCATTGATCACTTTCCGATCAACGATATGCCATGTCTTATCAGTCAAAGCGCATGCTACAATCAAGATTTCACAATTTGCAGCCAAGTCCAAGACATTTGAGTAGTACTTATATTTTGCACTCAGTTTCTTCGATTGGGAATGATAACTAATTGGACACCCAAATGCTTCAGCTCTCTTTGCAATTGCTGACCCTATCCTTCCCAACCCAATAATTCCAACTGATTTACCATTGAACTGCAATACGCATAAAACGCATATCAATACAAGGACAAACCTCCCTGTGTTTTTTGGTTCTCTTCTCGTGTTGCCTATTTGGGATAGTTGGGAATCACATAGAACAACCACATGCCAGGGCAGATACAACTATCACCCCTCTTGCTGTTTCTCTAGCTACTCTCTCTATAAACCATGGCCTCACTAGCTTTAACACCAACTTTTCCTTTCCCTTCCATAAATTAACCATGTCATTTTATGTAGTTTCCCCAAACAAACTACTGCAACTGAAATATTATATAAAAAGCATGTAAAAGGAAAGAAAACAACCGAAGGCAGGAAAGAAAATGAACTCCACACCTATGCTACATAAGAGAATATTTCAGCCACAAAAGACAATCTATCATGCTATGTAAAAGGTGAAAATATATTGGATGGGTTAGGTACATATTCACCCCAGTGATTTGGTCTTATTGCAATTCACAAGTCATATCTTGCACTTTTTGTAACAATTTCAACCCTATGGTTTTGTTTTTTGTTATTTTGCGTAAAATTGTTAGTCCTTTTGAGCTATCATCTTATAACTTTTTAGTTCTTTTTCCCTAATTTTAATTTGTTTAGCCTGAACTCTTGTATTCATATTTAGAAACTTAAACAAGTGTAAAGAAAAAAAAAACTAAGAATTTTACGTAAAATAACAAAAACCGAAACAACAGACTAAATTATCAACAAATAAATCACATGGTGTGAATTGCAATACACACACACATGTAAAGGAAAAGGACACGTTAGATATCATAATACCAAGGAGGATCATATACTTATGCTGCACAACGAAAACATGAAAATTTGAGTGATGAGAACTCAGGTTTCCATAATTAAAACTGTAAAACAATATTCCTTGTCAACATAACAATGTCGATAGCCACTAATTATCTATTACCCAAAGTTGCTTGGACTCTTTTTAATTTTGATGTTGTACCCGTGTTGGACACGACTCGAAAGATTGACTGAATTCCCATACATTTGATTAAAAGAACTTTTGTGTCAGACTCTGAGACCTATATCATACTTGGATACTGGCACCTAATTCCAAACAAAATAGTCTATTACCATTAACTTTTTCCCATGCCAAAGTTCTATAGATATCAATATCTTTGAGATTGAGCAACTTAAAACTAATCCATTTCTTGAGAGGTTTATTACTGTAGATTGGTGAATGGAATCTGTAGATGTGAACTTGAATACACACCTAATCAGATAACGAACTCCTAAATCTCTTATGTCAGGCTGCTTATGAAATAGAAGTGGTAAAATGCCAACTAAGTGGTGTAGTAATAGAAGGGTAAAATGATGGGCACGTTCCAACTGAGTGCAAATTATAGGCGCTATATTTTGAGGTTAATTAGACTGGAACTTGAATAAAAGATGGATGACCAAAATGCTGGCTATTTCAATTCCATGACCTATAAATGAAAATGATATTGAAAATATGAGAGACTGATTTTCGTAAACTATTGGTGACCATGCAGATAAATAAGAAAAAGCAGATTTTGTTATTTATAGAAGAATATTCTTTGTTGATTTTGTTCGATACTATGTCACGACTTGTAATATTATTACTATTACATTCTTTTAAAGCTAATCTCAAGATTTGTTCTTGCTGAGTCCAATGATTTTGAGAGTATAATTATAGTAACTTTAGTTAAAACAGAACTATAGATTTCTGTAGTATTTTTTTTATCATGTTTCCAATTAGCATACAGGTTTCTGCCCGTCTCCTTTTTTTTTTCCTTTTAGCTCGTGAGGTTATAGCAGTTCCATTAACCTACACTCATGATCTACAACTCATGAAAAAGAAAAGGGGAATCTATATTCACCAAATGTCACTTCATAATATTGAGCAGACTATAGCTTTTGATACTGAAAAAATACGTATAGAATAAACAGGGTGGTTAGTTCCACAAATCAGGCTGTGTAAGCACATATATATACATACATATATATATATATATATATTATTCATCATCAACTTGAAAATTAGCAGCTTAAAATGCATCTACCCAGAGTTCTATAGCACTACTTGAATCTCACTTAATAAAAGAGTAAACTCTCTGATCTATTAAGCTAGCCTATTGGTAAAACAGAAAGGGAAAAATGAAAACCAAGTGAAAATCTTAAGTAACAAAATGCAAAGGAGATAAGTGAATAAACATAAAAAGGCAATTCCTATTGTGAAAATGATACCAGACTCAATATTAATCAAAACCCTTCACCAGTATCACCAACTACTCCAATCAAATCATACTCCCTCAAAATCAGAAAGAGATATCAAATTTTCTCAACCAAGTCAATCAAATGAACAATGAAAAGACAACAGATGAGAACAAGAAGCAAACCTTTGTGCCCAACTCAAAATCAGAAATCCTCCAATGTCCATCTCTCAAAAACCTATCACCCGCACAAACCTTCCTCAAAACCCCAAGTATCAACCCAAAAGCCAAATCCGCCACATCATCTGTCAACACATCAGGTGTGTTGGTGACTCTAATCCCTTTCTCTTCACATTTCTTCAAATCGATCTTATCCAGTCCCACGCTGTAAGTTGCCACGATCTCCAAGGTAGGAATCGAGTCTACTAACTTGGCGTCTGCGCCAAATTTAGTGTCGCCCACTACCGCTCTGATTAAGTTTGCGCTCTTGTTGGCCTTCAAGAAGTCAGTTATTGAAGAGTATTCCCAGAGTTTGAAGAGAGCGAAGCGTTTGCTGAGTTCTTCTTCGAGGTATGAGGACATTGGGGAAGTCATTAAAACACCAGTATCTTCCATCTTCAGGACATTGGGGAAGTAATTTCCCCCCTCCCCCCCTTCATTTCAGACCAAAGGAAAACATGTGAGCCGGGAGAAGGTCCACCCGTTTACCCGATCCGAAGTCTCAGACGCTAATTGGCAATTTTTGATTATCTTTTCTACTCATTTCTCATCCTAATTTATTATTCTCAATTTTGGGTGATATTCTATATTATGATTTCTTTTTTTTAAAAAAAAAGTAAATATTTTATTCAATTTAGGCTAGTAATATATTTTTTTGCATTTGAAGAAAATATATGATTTATTAATATTTATTATCCATGTTTTTATATGATTAAAAAAATTACTTAAAATTGAAATTATTTAAAAAAATCAAGTTCCTTCGTACGTAAATGTTATATATTTCTATCTTCATTAATTTTTTCTTAACGATGTTTGAATATGTAAAAATATTATGTAACGTGTCAAATTAAGTTACATTACTTTTAAATATGTTGATATTTATGCTCTGTTTAGATAATTTTTGTGATAGTTCATTAATATAAAGTAATGTATGGTAAGTGTGCAGAATGATAATTAATAAGTTATGATATATTTAGAAAGACGGTATCTTAATGTATGATAATGATAACTGTTTTATTTGAATTGATAGGGTTGATATAGTTGTATATTAAGTTAAATTATCAAATTGTCTTTATCTTAATATATATAATATTAAAAGAAAATAAAATACTTATTTAAATTATAATTAAATTAGTTAACTTGATAAATTATTTAAACTGTAATTTTTATTGAATTTTTTTTTAAATATAAAAAAATAATATGTTATGAAGAATACAAATTTATTTTTTATAATTAATATAAAAAATTAATTTAAAACTATAATTTTTAATTTATAATTATAAATTTTAAAAAAACATATTGATAAGAAGAGAAGAAAAAAAGAAGTAGGTTGGCTACGGAAAAGAATTTTTTGAAGGGTAAAATGAGAATTATAAAAATTTAAAGAGAATAAAAATAAAATAAAAATATTATCCGGTAAAAAACTACCAAATCGTGATGTTAAAAAATTGTCAAAATTTTCTTTTTAGAATAACATCAAAAACTCTAAGATAACCATATTATCAACAAATAAACATGATTGCAAACAAACATAATTTTATCATCCCACTACCATATCCTACATTAATAAACCACATTTACCATCATCCAAATATAAGATTAGTCTAAAAAATTACAGATTCTCTTCTTCACATATATATATATATATATATAATGAACTTAGATGAGCTTAAGCTCGAGCTCGAATAAGTTTAAGTTATATAAAATTGAGCTCGGTAAGTTTAATAAAAAACTCTTTTATTATTTCATTTATCTACTTTATTTAATTTTCTTTCAAATATATTATTAATGTACAATTAAATTATATTTATCTCCAAATTATATATATATATATAGAGAGAGAGAGAGAGAGAGAGGGAGAGAAAGAAGTTTGCTAAATTGGGGAAAAGCAATTTGCAAAATGTTGAAGGTAAATATGGATAATGGCTGAAATGTGAAGCCTCCAATAAATCATGTACATAATCAAACTACAGGGGTTAAGAGTTGTTTGTTGGAAAAGTGAGCCTCCAAGTTGCCAAGCACAAGATCAGCCATTTCCATGCGTGTTTCCACAGTCCCACTTCCTACATGTGGCAACAGAACAACATTTTCAAGTCCGAAAAGTGCTTCAGGCACTTCCGGCTCATGTTCGAACACATCAAGACCAGCACCTCCCAACCTGCCTTCTACTAACGCAGAAACCAGTTCAGGTTCATCCACATGAGGACCTCTACCAATGTTAATCAGAATACCTTTCGGACCCAATGCATCGATTACTTCACGATTGATGATATGCCGAGTTTCCTCTGTCAGTGCACATGCAACTACGAGGATTTGACAGTTTGATGCCAACTCCACAACACTTGGATAGTATTTGTAGTTTACTTCTGCTTTCTCTGATTGAGAATAATAACTGATCGGGCAGCTAAATGCTTCAGCTCTTTTAGCAATTGCAAGTCCAATTCTTCCCAACCCAATGATCCCCACAGTTTTTCCGGTGAACTGAAATTTGTATTATCAAAGGCCAAAATAAAGGAATACAAATGTTAAAAGTATGTGAACAAAACTCATAGACAGAATACTAATCAGGGCACTCTGACAGACTAAGAGATAGATTCTGCAACAAAGGAATTGTTACACTAACATTTACAGCCAATACGCGATCCTAGCAACCCTAAAACAGTTACCTAGTATTAGCTTTATATAATCTCATTAAGAACAAAAAAAGAAACTATGCTTAATAGTTCTAACTCACTCAGTTAGAATACCACAACCATGACTAATAACTAAACATTAAAGATTTGAATTTGCTTTTATGGAGCATACACATATCTCAGTAAATATAAGAACTAAAGAGTATGTTATTTCCAAATACATCCATATTTCAGACCCAAAACTCTAATCATAAAGCAAGAGCAGCACATTCCACTAATTCAAACACAACATTGCTGCAGAACTCCAAAATCCCAAAAAGATTACTCTAATCTAAATTATTTTTCTGCATAACCATAGCAGTTTGTAAAGAAATTAATGACCGTTATATGATGAACTCCATATAAACAAGAGTTATACAACGCAATAGAACATGGCCTTTCTCATATTTTTATGAAGTAATTTACAATGCGAAACAATATTTTTGGTGGATGACAATTCCTCAGAAATGAGAATTAGTTGCAGACAATGAATTGCAATCACAAAACTACTGAGTAAATGGGTGGGTACATTCACATTACATTCTCCACCTTTTTATGAACTTATTGCTCAGCTCATTACAGACACATCAAGGAATTCACATCTACAATACACAATATATATATAAAAAGATAAATTCAATCACAAGCTCAAGCATGAATTTCCCCAAATTCAACCTGCCTTCTAACTGTTTGTTCTTACATACAAAGCAACTTTCCTCATGGATCATATCAATGACAAACAAAATCTTTGGAAAAAAATCTATCCATCAACAACACATGCACAAATTTCCCAAAATTTCAGCCTAACTCCCAAAAGTTTGTGCTTATACACTAGTAGCAAGTGCATTTTATGTATCTCCTCCATTTCTATATATCCTTGGAGCAAACAACCATTTCACTCAACTAAGACCAATTACATCAATTTCAAAGAAGACCCACAAAAGCAAAGTTCCTTTTGTAAACCACCCACTAACCCTTCTAGTCAATAATCTCTAGATTCCTGCATATTATTCCATCCAAACAACTACATACCAAACCATAGTCCCCGTAAATACTTGGCAGTAACCACGAAAACTGTTATAGATTAAAGTATAAATTATAATTTATTTGATTTGTTAATTTAAATTTAAATAGAATTTATTTTTTTAATTATTCTTAACTCTGAGTTACCATTCAAATATTATGTAATTAATAAGAACTTATCTTTTAAAAAATTTAATTAATATTTTTCTTTAATGTATCATGCAGTTAGTAATATCTTAGAAGGTTAATTTATATATAAACCTATTTAAAAGTACACTACTAAGTTGTTAATTCTTGAATTTACAGAAATTCAAATTTTCACCTGAAAAACTCCTAACAAAAACAAAGAAAATATTTTGAGAAACCAAAAGCACAAACCTTAGTGGTCAATTGATAATCCCCATGCTTCCATTTTCCACTCCTGACATAACGATCGCAGGCAGGCAACCTCCGCAGCACTGCCAAAATCAAGCCAATAGCCAAGTCAGCTACGTCATCGGTCAACACATCAGGAGTGTTGGTGACTCTGATTCCTTTCTCCCTGCACTTTCCCAGATCGATCTTGTCAAGTCCCACACTGTAACTGGCAACGATCTCCAAATTGGGCAAGGCGTCGATCAGCTCGGCGTCGGCGCCGGCCGTGGCGTTGCCTACGACGGCGCGGATTGAATTCCTGTGTGCCTCCAGAAATACCGATTTCTCCGGTAGCGTCCAGAATCTGAGGAGGTTGAAGCGGCGTTGGAGCTCCTGCTCCAAGTAGGAATTCATGGGGAAGGTCATCAGCACTCCTATGGTCTCCATTTTCTCAAACAAAAACTGGGTGTGGGATTTCGGTTTTTCGTGGTTGTGAATTTATGTTATAGGCTGCCGGCTGTGTTTTTGGAATTTTTTTATTAAAAAAATTAAATTACCGTTATTGAAGGTTTGTTATAATTTATATTTAATATTTTTTATTTTTAATTTAATTCTTAATATTTTTATTTATTTTTTAAAAATTAGATTATACTTAAATATTTTAAAAATAATTTTAATTAATTAATTAAATGAAAAAATTCAGTAACTATTTATTGTTATGCTTTCTTTGCTTGGAAAGCTGAGTAAGAAATGTATTTTAACAATTGATAAGATGATAAGGAGGCTTACAACTATAGTTAATAGAAATTTTTTATGTAAAACGTATGAAAAATCTTGCAATCATATCCTTCTTTGGTGTTTAATATTTTGATCATCATGTATAGTCTTTTTGTAATACCCGAACCTAAAATTTAGTTCGGGATTAATTTTAAAGTTTTAAAAAAATATATAAAATTAATTTAGTTCGGGATTAATTTTAAAGTTTTAAAAAAATATATAAAATTATAAATTTTATTTAATATAAAATTAGAAAAAAAAATAGGTTGATGATGAAATTAAAAATAATTTTAGAAAAAATGGGTGAAAATTTAAGTTCGGATAATATTTTTAAAAGAAAAATTAGAAATTTGGGTAAAAATGCAATCAAAGAAAATTGCGTCATGTACGACCGCCGAGTCAGCAGCCTCGACGAACCGGAGCGCGTCGCGTGGCAAGGCACACTAACTTAGTACCACGTGGGAAGCCACGCTGGCAGTCCCCGTACCTACGATCGGACGGTCCGAAAGCGTTCCCGTGCACGTGGACGGTTCAAATCCGTTCCCTCCTCAGGCACGATTAGACGGTCGTGATTAAACGCGATGAATGATATAGATTTATTTCTTCTTCAAATATGATCGTACGGTCGATATCAAATCGCGATGAACAGTTCAGATTCATTTTCTCTTTAAACACAATCGGACGGTCGAGATCAAATGCGATGAACAACCCAAATTTAAAGAGACGGGTATAAATATCTCGCATCACACCGAATCCAAACCCTAGCTGCCAGCCTCCTACCAAAGAAAAAGAACCAGTCGCCAGAAAAGGAAGTTGACTGCCGCCGACTGCTGCGCCGGAGCCACCTCTGACCGCCAAAAAAAGGTAAAAATTCTCATATCTACTTAGAATTTGATTTGGAATACCTCCATGGTCAAATCTGAGCAAAAAAAATCGTAAATGAGCCGAAAAGCGCGAGTAAAGCCTGGCGACGCCGCTGCAGGCAAAACTTGAAACTACTTCTGATGAGCCCCTTTCCGTTTCCCGTTTCGTGTAATGTTTCCAATATTTTGTTCGCCGTTATGTTTTTTTACAGGTTGATCGAAAAAAAATGTTGAGTCGCGAATGTGAGTCGGCAGAGTCGCCGCACCAAAAAATTTTGCCGCTTATAGATTTTTATTTTTTGACTTTTTTCAGCCAACTGAGACCCCATAACGTGTTTTCTCACGAGGATGTGTATAAAACCAGTCGAAAATGACCAAAAATAATCAGGCTGAGCCAAACCACCGCCACGGACGGCAGTGCCGTTGCCAAAGCATGGTGCCACCGTGCCAAAATTTTGAAATTGGCCGAAAAAAATTCTTAACACTGATTTTTAGATTTTAGAGAGACTCATCTCTACCCTAGTAGGCTAGGAAAGAGATGAGGAAACTGTCTGACCCTCCACCACTTCCACACTATGAGCCACTCGTACAATGAGAGAATCTAACGTAACCTCGATGCAACCATGGTGCTATTTCTTGGTCAAGAGATCATAGAATTGTTCCATTGCTTTTTTTTTTTTTATTTCTATGTATTGCTTATTTTCATCATTGGATAGTGGATTTTGGAGAATTTACGAGCTAATTTTGCATCATCTTCATGTTCAGCACAGGTGTCCTCCGTCATATCATCCGACACCATCACAATACAATTTGGAGCCCCCACTGTATCATCCAGCACTGTTACAAGGCCACCCGGTCCCTCCCCAGCAACATCTGGCCCCTCTTCCACGGGATTCAGTTTTATCCATGATGGACCTGACAGAGATTGACACGGGGGACCTTGATGTATTTTCAATAATGAATTGGTTAGTGGCGTATCACGCCACCGTGGATTATTTCTACGAGAAAATTATATTTAAGCCTCCTAACAAAGAGTCATTTACAGAGCTAATAAAAGTTTTGAATATTATTCTCTCATAGCAATTTTCTTATTACATAGCGCTTTAATTTGGTTATTTCCTCTACACTGGGCAAATCTAAGAAAAAGAATTGTATTCAAGAGATTCTAGTAGTCCGAGACTTCTCATATGTGTTTCCAGATGAACTACTCAAACTACTAGTGGATAGAGAAGTTGAATTTACCATAGATCTTCAACCAGGCACCCAGCCTATTCCAATTTTCCCTCACCGCATGAGTCGTGTTGAGATGGAGGAGCTGAGAAAACAGATCAATGAATTACAGGATAATGGATTCATTCGACATAGTGTGTCCCTTTAAGGGTGCTGGAGTCACATTTGCAAGAAAGAGGGATGATATGTTAAGGTTATGTATTGACTACAGAGGACTGAACAAGGTCACGATCAAGAACAAGTACAACTTCCCAGGATCGATGATCTTTTTGATCAATTGCAGGGTGTCTAGGTCTTCTCCAGAATAGACCTACGTTCAGGTTACCATCAGGTAAAGATCAAGGCAGAAGACATTCCCAAAACAACTTTTTGAACCAAGTACGGACACTATGAGCTCCTAGTCTTTCCATTTGGACTAACCAACGCACCAGCTATCTTTATGGATTTGATGAATAGGATTTTTAGATAATTTCTAGATCAGTTCGTCATTATAATTATCGATGATATCCTGGTCTATTCAAAAAGCAGAGAGGAACACACTCACCATCTTACTCAGGTTTTGCAGGTTATTAGAGAAAAGTTGTATGCAAAGTTGAGTAAGTGTAAGTTCTGTTTCGAGCAGATTAACTTCATACGGCATATCATATCAAGTGATGGAGTATCAGTGAACCATGAAAAAGTTGAGGCAGTACTCGGTTGAGAGAAATTGACCTCGGTCAAGGAGATTCGTAGCTTTCTGGGGATGTTAGATTATTACCGCACGTTTGTAGAAGGATTTTCTACCCTACCTACTCTTTTGACTCGGCTCACAAAGAAAAACGTAAAGTTTGAGTAGAATGAGAACTGTGAAATGAGTTTTTCAGAACTAAAGAAGCAGTTGACTACTGTACTTGTGTTGGCCTTGCCGAGCAAGACAGGTAGATATACAGTTTATAGTGATGCCTCTTACCTATGATTGAGTTGTGTTATGATGCAGCATGGGAAGGTCATAGCCTATGGGTCCAGATAGTTAAAGAGTTATGAGAAAAACTACATCATCCATGACTTAGAACTTGCCATGATTATCTATGCCTTGAAGAGTTAGCATCATTACTTGTACGGGGAGACTTTTCAGATCTATACTGACCATAAGAGCTTAAAATACATATTCACTCAAAAGAATCTCAACATGCGTCAGAGACGATGGATAGAACTCCTCAAAGACTACGATTACAACATCTTGTATCACCCGGGTAAGGGCAATGTGGTAGCCGACGCACTCAGCAGAAAAAGTGTAGGTATATTAGCTCACCTAATGGTTTCAGAATGCAGAATAATAGGGGCCACACAACATGTACGACTTCAGGACTTGAAGAGAGTTACATACTTGGCCCATTTGACTGTTTAACCTTAGTTGATCTAGAGAATAAAGGAAGCTCAATCCGTCAATTCCACCCTAGCAGCCATCAGGAAAGATATAGAACATATAGTAAATTCAAAATTTTGAGTCTCTACCGATGGGTTACTCAGATTTCAGTACAGAGTGTGTTCCATGTAACAGTGAATTGAAAAGGGACATAATAACAAAGGTTCATTACTCAAAGTTTGTCATGCATCCCAGAAGCACTAAGATGTATCAAAGTATACAACCCCGATTTTGGTGGAATGTGATGAAAAAAGAGGTGGCTGACTTTGTTTTTGAGTGTCAGGTGTCTCAGTAAGTCAAGACAGAGTATTAACACCCAGGAAAGCTACTTCAACCATTACTAATTCTGGAGTGGAAGTGGGAACACATCATAATATATTTCGTGACAGGATTTACCTAGGGCACACTGGGGACATGATATCATTTGGATAATTATTGACTGGCTCACCAAGTCTTTCCACTTCTTGGCCATCAAGATGACCGGCCCCTTGGACAATCTAGCAATAATGTATATCCAGGAGATAGTAAGGTTATATGGAGTGCCAGCGATAGTAGTATCCGATAAGGACCTCAGATTTATTTCTCAGTTCTGGTCTAGTTTTCAGCAAGACATGAAAACGAAACTATCTCTTAGTACTGCATTCCACCCTCAGACCGATGGACAATTAGAAAGGACGATATGCACATTGTAGAATATGCTTCGAGCTTCTATTCTTGACTTCCGGTCCCATTGGGATGATCATTTACCCTTAATAGAGTTCGCCTACTATAACAACTACAAAACAAGTATCGGCATGGCTCCGTACGATGCATTATATGATCACCCATGTAGATCACCGATATGTTGGAAAGAGGTGGGTGATAGAAAATTGTTCAGCTTAGATATTGTAGAAGAGACTACAATTAAAATAGTTAAGGTCAGAAAGAATATCCAAATGGCTCAGAGTAGACAGAAGAGTTATGCGGACACTTGGAGAAGGGATTTAGAATTTTAGAAAGGTGATTGAGTGTTCCTTAAGGTCACTCATTTCAAGAGAATCAGTAGGTTTGACAAGAGGGAGAAACTAGGTTTATTGGGCCATTTGAAATTTTAAACAGAATTGGGACCGCCGCCTACAGACTGACACTACCTCCAGAACTATCTAGGGTTCATAATGTGTTTCATGTGTCCATACTACGCAAGTATAACCTGGACCCCTCTCACATCTTGGCCAACGAGCCCCTTTCACTT